TTATGAAATAACTTGTAGTTTTCATACTTTACCAGTATTTGACGCAGAAAAAAGTAAATATTGTTATTTTTTGTAAATACTTGCTTCTTTGTTCTTAAGAACAAAACTACACCTGGGCTACCTGTGCTGTGCCCACCACGCGTACTAAAACTCAGTGTTTGGCCTCCAGACTTACCACTGAGCTACTGAGGAGCTTTTAACTATTCAATAGTTCTAGATTTATAGTGTACTGGTGATCAATCTTTCGCGTCGTATGTTTCTTATACTTAATGATAACCTATATCATAAGACATTGAAAACAAGACTGACACTTTTATTTAAAGTGCACGTGTTCTATGTTTCTATCAAAACTTTGATATTTGTAAGTGTATGTGTGAAATATGTTTTTCCTAATTTTCTCTGTAGAAAGCCATAAAAACCATCTCGTTCATAATCGAGAAAATCAAAATATTGAATTACCAACAATTTATATCATCACCGCTACTTATGCACGAGCTAATCAGATTCCAGAAATAACAAGATTGGCCCAAACCTTAATGCACGTGCCCAACATTCATTGGTTGGTTGTGGAAGACTGGTCTGATAAAAATCCAATGGTAGAGAAGATTCTGGTGAAACGGGGCGTTCAACACACTTATCTTGTAGGACCGAGACCACCCAATCATCTTAAATATCCTTATGCAGTCAGCTGTCACCATGCAGCCTTCAAATGGATCAGAAAAAACGCCAAATCTGGTGTTATTTTTATGGCAGATGACGACAACGTTTTTGACCTTCGAGTATTTGAGCAAGTAAGATTTCAACTACATCATGTGGAACACTTGACAACAATATAATTTCTGTAAATAAAAAAATACACGGCTTATCAAAATAATAATAAAATATCAATATCAAACTGTTTTTGTAATCTTTAACTTAGCTTATTTTCATCTGGTATAGCTATGTTTGTATACGACATATCTTTGTAAAATATTACACTTATCATCGTTTGATCCTACTTCCCCTCTAACCAGTTGAGTCAGTATTTCAAGTGGATAAAATATTGCTCTACAAACAATGACAATATCTCTATTTATTTTACTCATTTGGTTTTTACAATGATCGACAAGGTTCTTAAGCTGTAAAACAAATAGATTGAAACTAAATTTCTAATTTAATCCATTCATATGAAACTTTAGATTTTTTCTCACAGATGAGATCGACCAAAAATGTAAGTGTTTGGCCAGTAGGGGGCATGTTCAAGGAACAGTTTTCTAGCCCTGTCGTGAAGGATGGAAAGGTTATCGATTTTTACGACGGTTTTCGGAAAAGAAGAAAATTTGCTCTTGATTGGGCAGCTTTTGCTGTAAGTGTCCAACACTTTCTTAGTATTCCAGGAGCCACAGTTCCATATCGAAATGGTTTTGAAGAAGACCTGTTTTTGCAAAGTCTACGTTATGAGCTGGATGACTTGGAACCAAAAGCAAACAACTGCACAGAGGTAAGGAGACTTTATATTTAAAAAAATAATAAAATCTTCAACGAGTCTTTTTCAATTTATTTCAATTTCTACCTTAGAAAATATCCTTAAGTAACAGTAGAAGTGATGTATGTTTTAAAAATTAATGGTTCTAGCTTGTTTGTATATACATTAAATATCATTAAGTTACTATTGAATGAGTTAATATTAAAAGAATCTGACATGTAACATTGGTCAACTAAGATATAGAAAAACAACATACAGATAAAGGAGAAAAAATGTACTTTTAAAAGTCTTTACTTACATATATAGAGGGACGTACAAGTAGTCACTAGCGAAACGCTTAAAAGTGAACTCGTTTTATAGAGATACACAAATCGTATCGATTCTATGTCTAAAACTGTTGTATCATTTATGTGATACTCTTAAACCTTAGAATAAACATGTTTTCTATATTTTGTTGCGAGCTCTAGTTAACATAGAAACGTAAAGTTTGGGAAGGTTTGTGTTTTCATAATCAGGTTCTTTCTTCATGTTCTTCAATAATGGGTAAGTCCTTCCTACTGTTCTAGTGTGCCACGCTAAAACCTGAAATGAAAAACATATTACTTTTAAGCTACGTAACATGAAAAAGTAAATATATAAACATATTATTTAGAAAGTTCATAAACTGCATACCATATATTAGATTAGTTCATCAGCATTGACTTTTCCAGATTCGTTTTAATTATTGACATATTTGATACAATATAGCAAACACCAACAAGAGACGTTTTGAGAGTGGAATGTTTGAAAAGTATATTTCGTCTATACGAATCGATATCGTAAGTGAACTCATTATTGACAAAATGTATTTCTTTTATATGTGAAATTACTAAAATATGAAACAAAATATTAACAAGCAATATTTATATAGAATATAAACGTGTGTGTGTGTGGGGGGGGGGGTATTCATTAACCTAATCTTTCTTAAAAACAAGCTACAAAACCCATTATTTGATCAGACAAGAGTCGTTAGTAGATGCCACCTTTTCTCTCGTCTATCAATTCAAAATTAGGGACAGCTATGTATAGACAACCCTTATGTAACTATCGGTAAATTTATGAAACAACGTATTGTGTATCGTTCAATGTAGAAAATAAAAACACAATAAGTTTGTGACCGGAAATCATATAACACCCGAAATATTTTCAGCTACACTATCTGAAGATGGATCCAATTTATTCAGATGTTTTGTATCATCTAAAAAATTAGTTGAATCTAAGTCTTTACGTCGGGAAAATATCCATACTCGTATCAGATGAAGTTTATAACAGAATAAAACCACGTGATTGTATAAAACGTTAAAATGTTTTAACCTAACATGAAACTTAATTAGATGTATTATCGCTAATACTTTACTCATCCTTAAAATGAAATGAATGAGAACAAACTTTTTGTTAATTAGTTTTCCAGAGTTTGAACTTCGGTCTTGTTTGTTTCAAATTCGCAATACAGTGTTTCAAACACAAGATATATATTATGAATCAATCTAAAATATTGTTACGTCTCCGTTTGTTAATTAACTTTCCGTAACTTCGTTCCGACGAAACTTTAGCGACACAAGTCCTTACTTAATAAAACTGGTTTCTTCTTTCCGAATATAACTTTACGATACACTTAATTTCAACAATCGCTCTACAACAAACGCTATATCAACGAACA